TAAACTTTTTATATTCTTTGTCGCTAGAGAGGCATTGTTTCCCTTCTAGTATTTAAACAGCATTACATGCCAAATGTGTGTGTCATCGTGTTCCATCACTATAAGAGATTAGAGTATACTAAACTCCACACATTATTTTGCCTACACTAACATGATGTTTCAGTAGGTCATTTACCTATTATACTGATGTACATTTTTTAGGAGGTGTTCCAAAACACAGCAATAATTTCTTGACGACCTAATATGTTGGCAGCATAAAGCAATTTAGAAAAATATGATTTGATATCACTTATATAAAAAAAAATTAAATATTGTGAAACTTATTAAATGTGCTTCTGCAGGTCCTTGAAAGTGTTTCAAGATTAAATAAAACCAAAATTAAGATTAACAAATAGTTTTATTTCTTGCTTTTGAAATTAATAAGTCATGCTGTTTTGTAGCCTACAGATTGTAATGTTAAGCATTTTTTGTGTATCACCATACTAGCATCGACTGACTGACAACACACTACTGTGGTGCAAGTGATTACACAAATGACTCCTCCAGGTGGCTTTCAACCCCCTTTCGGGGAAATTAGAACCAAGCTTTGCAGATATTATACATAAGAGCACAATAATACAGAAACTGAACTTAACCCTTTCGAAAGGGGTCATAGGTGAAAGGCCAAGTCATCTCGTTTGTTGACTCGCATTCAAAATTTTATTGAACTACTACTTGTAGATTATAACTCAAATTTTAGTACTATATATTAACCAGTTTCTTAATTTAAAAGCAAATATTAAAAAGACAGAGATAAACATCGATTTTTGTACATCACATGGTATGTTAAATGCAGCACTGGTTCAAATTAGATGTTTGCAAAGTCAAAATACTAAGTCTATAGTTTGAACGAATTAGAAACTCAAATTAACAATATTGACAAGCTAGAAAATAAAATAAGAGCCTCTTATCTCATTAATTTGCTAAGATATTGCTCATGTAATAAATCAAACATAGTGGCACCCCGACCACTTCTTTCTATTTTTGGAAATGCTCCCTTATATATACTTACTTCTATATATGACATGAATAACCAAGCAGAAGCTCTGAATGTACCCTTAGTGACTTTCTCAGCCACTTTAAAAGACTTGGTGCCATTTCTAGCTTTTGAACCAATATTTCAACGAGGTAGGGTGTATCCTTATTCTGCTCAAAATTTTATATTTTTTTAGGCTAAAATGTATCTTAGTTACTAAGCTTTATAAATTATAGTGGAATTCTATGGTATTCATGTAGTAATTTATGATTTTTTTTAGTTATTCAACTGTATATATAAAACCTAAAAAAATATTTTGTTTCATATCCTCCATATGCAAAATTTTTTTTTAAAGCTTAGCAACCTAC